GATTTCTCTCTTCTCAATCACAACAAAAGTGGCCTCTTTTTGACAAAATATATTTAAGGAAATGTATATCAGATAAAAAATGAAGATCTTTCACTGAAGCCATTATGATCACGTTATTTATGAGATTGTGTGACCTAAAATTTTCTGTTATCCCCCCACCCCCTAAATATTAGCTAATATATGTCAGCGCCCTTATAGAGAGAGAAATTAATTAAAAGGGAAGTTCATTATAGAGATTTTACTTAGTGTTCATTATAGAGAGAGTGAACTGTAGCTTTATTTTTTTTTTTTTGCTAAAGGATGTCATAGAAGAAAAGGACAATGTTATATTAAATATTTAATATTAATTATCTTTACAAATAAAATAAAAATGATTTTTCTATATATTACTGTATATAATAATAATGTTATCATGCATGACTACACTAATATTTTTAATGATTCACAGTCAAAAATTATCTACTGTATCACAGTAAATTTCATGTTACCTACACTCTACCCTTAACTTGTAGCTTGATTATTTATGGCCTTAAAGGTTGTTGAAGCTAAATCAAAAGGATGTAATTATTTATTAAAAACTTGATCGTTTTAGAATTATTTTATTTTAATGTGTGACATAAGAAAATGATCGTCACTGTAAAAAATTTATCCTTTCAGTTGTTATGAAAAACCACATGACTACACTCTACCCTTAAAAAAAAAGATTATCACCAATGTCTGGACCATATTTGCATGATATGAAAAAATTTTTAACTTTTTTAAACAGTCAAAACATGCCTTATATCCAAAACTATGATTTTATGGTCATTCTTTTTTTAAACAAGTAAGCAAGCATTAAAATATGGCCTTTTTAAAATGGAGGCATCTAAAAAAATGAAGATCAGAACATGCATTAAGAACTACTTCATAGAAACACCTTCTGATGAATGGAACTTTGATTCTTTTCATAGGTTTATGTTTATAATTGGATATAAAGACAATAATTTAATATATAGAAATTATCACTGACAATTGAATGAAATAATTAAAAATGACAAGGATGAAAATAATAGAAGAGTAGCTGGAATGCTTAAAAACGTGTGTATATGTTCAAAATGAAAGAGTTTATTAACACACACACATATATATATATAATGATGAAAAAAAAAAATAGTATGTATGTGATAAAAAAATATATATATACATGATGGGAAAAAAGATGATATACAATATATAATGCTTTAACAATGGCATATGGATACATTTTGTGCCTTCAGTATACTAAAAACTGACCCACTTATTGTGCCTTCAGTTGTTTAATAATGGTATACTGACCCACTTTGTATTTTCATATGCTAGTTTTGGTTTTTTACTGAAAACAATAATATGTTATATATAATAAATTTAAAAAAAGAAAAAAAAAATAATATTGTTTATTTTTCTTTTATTTAATTATAGAACAAGCCAATACCATCATCATAAACAACATCATCATCACAAACAACATCATCACCACAAACAACATCATCACAAACAACATCATTACAAATAACATCATCAAAAACATCATCAACTACACCTATTAATAGTGATGAAGATGATGTTGATAATAAATTTGCTTTATATGACTTGGTGAAATTAGCTCTTTCTAATCTAAATCCAAAAGTTTTGAACAGAAGTTTTAGTCATTCAAAGGATGGTAGGAAGGTACTTGAAAGAGCTTGGCAAGTAGAGATGTATCATAGTTTGTATGTATGTCTGTCAGAAGATGCATGTGTATTGCCAGAAATCAGGAAGATTTTTAGTGATGATGTTATAATTGATTTTTACATCCAAGAGTATCAATGGGGGATAGAACTATTAATTGATGGCATTGGAATGAAAGAGCATTATGAGAGATTTCAGACTGGTAAATTTAAGAATATAAAATTTTTTTTTAAATATAATTTATTAACCATTAAAATATTTATATAGGAGGTAAATATTTGTTGATACCCATGAAATCATTTATTATACAGTCGAACTCTCGTTTCAATGGATTTTTGTTTCAACAGATTTTATATTTAAATCGCATTTCAACAGACAATGTATTTTTTGGTAGGATTTTAGTAATAAGTATTAATTGCATTACAACGGATTCATGTGATATAGATTTTATAAAAAAAACACAGATTAATTCATTGCTAAATAATAATATTAATCAAAATTTTCCATATTTCTAAATAATGATTTTACATGAATAATTAAACATACATTACTAAATAATAATATTAATCAAAATTTTCATATTTCTAAATAATGATTTTACACGAATAATTAACACACATTACTAAATAATATTATTGTGGTTTGCAAAATAGTTGATTTTTGCAGATCTGTGTGACCCATGGTTTTTTTTACAAAAATTTTATTGTCGCGAATGATAAATATTATAAAAACTTTTAATTTTAATATTGTTTAATTTAGTTTTTTTATGAACTTTTCCTAATTAGACT